TCCCTTTTGCAGCAATTACTGCCTCAATGCGGTGTGGCATGGAAGCTATCAGCCTGTGGCACTGCTGAGGTGTTATGGAAGACCAGGATGCTTCAATAGCGACCTTCAGCTCTTCTGCATTGTTCGGTCTCATGTCTTTCATCTTTCTCTTGGCAATGCCCCATAGATTGCATATGGAGTTCAGGTCAGGCGGGTTTGCTGGCCAATCAAGCACAGTAATCCCATGGTCATTGAACCAGGTTTTGGTGCTTTTGGCAGTGTGGGCAGGTGCCAAGTCCTGCTGGAAATTTAAGTCAGCATCCCCATAAAGCTCATCTGCGGAAGGAAGCATGAAGTGCTCCAAAATCTCCTGGTAGATGGCTGCGTTGACCCTGGACTTAATGAAGCACAGTGGACCAACACCAGCAGATGACATGGCTCCCCAAATCAACACAGACTGTGGAAACTTCACACTGGACTTCAAGCATCTTGCAGTGTGGGCCTCTCCATTCTTCCTCCATACTCTGGGTCCTTGGTTTCCAAATGAGATGCAAAAGTTGCTCTCATCAGAAAAGGGGACTTTAGACCACTGAGCAACAGACCAGGTCTGTTTTTCTTTAGCCCAGGTAAGACGCTTCTGACTTTGTTTGTTGTTCAGGAGCGGCTTGACAAGAGGAATACGACATTTGAAGCCCATGTTTAGGATCCGTCTGTGTGTGGTGGCTCTTGATGTGAAAGTCTCCAACACTTTTGAATGGCCATTTCCTGACAATCCTCTCCAGGCTGAGGTCATCCCTGCTGCTTGTGCACCTTTTTCTTCCACACTTTTTCCCTTCCACATAACTTTCTATTAATGTGCTTTGATACAGCACTTTGGAAACATCCAACTTCTTTTGCAATTACCTTTTGAGGCTTTCCCTCCTTATGGAGGGTGTCAATGATGGTTTTCTGCACAAGTGTCAGGTCAGCAGTCTTTCCCATGATTGTGATTCCTACTGAACCAGACTGAGAGATCATTTAAAGGCTCAGGAACCCTTTGCAGGTGTTATGGCTTAATTAGCTGATTAGAGTGGGACACTTTGAGCCGAGAATATTGCACCTTTTCACAATATTCTAATTTTCTAAGATTGTGGATTTGGGGTTTTCATGAGCTGTAAGCCATAATCATCACAATTATGACAAATCATGGCTTGAACTATCTTGCTTTGCATGTAATGAGTCTATCTCATATATTAGTTTCACCTTTTAAGTTGCATGCACTGAAATAAATGAACTTTTGCATGATATTCTAATTTTTCGAGTTTCACCTGTATATATACGTGAATTGCATTTCCGGGTATTGGGCGCATGTGCTGCCCTACCTGCGCCACTATTGGCTGTTGAGAATGTCAATCACTTGGACCTGGCCAGAGATTCCCGGTTGGCAGGGCTGAGAGGGGAGAGATCTGTGTGTGAATGAAACAGATCTCTCTCCTGTCAGCATGGACATGCTGCTTTGTATCTCTCTGCACAGCAGGAGATACTGGCAAACTCATGGGGATCATGGGGCCCCTGTGTGCTTGCCCACAGTCAAAGCACACCCAAAAAAGCCTATAAAAGGTACTAGTGGCATTTCATGGGGCCCCCTACTGATCCCGGGCCCTCGGGGCAGTGCTTGAATGCTCAAATGGTCAGTCCCCTGCTGCGTGCAGCGTTGCATGACCACACAGTTGTCAGTTAAAATAACGCAGCGCTGTATCGCAAAAAATGGCCTGGTCAGGAAGAGGGGTAAATCCTCTGGAGGGCGAATGGTTAATTGTAATTTTAACAGACCAAAAGGTAGCAAAATAAAGGTGATCACTGTTAGGGTTCACATATACTTGAATATGATATTAAAGGCATTTTGTTTTTTAAACAGCAAACATCTTATACTTACCTGTGCAATGGTTTTTCACAGAGCAGCCCCAATCCTCCTCTTCTTGGGTCCCCCGCTGGCGCTCCTGGCGCCTCCCTCCTGCCAAGTGCCCCCGAGCAAGCAGCTTACTATGGGGGCATCCAAGCAGACTCGCTCCCAAGGCGCTGCTCGCACATGCGCAGTGGGCACTCGGCTGTGAAGCCGCAAGCTGTCACAGTCGGGTGCCCACACTGAAGATGCCGGCCTCCTAGAATACAGAACAGCCAGTGAAACGGGCTGCGGCGGGGGGGCAACATGGGATAGTGGGACAAGTGAGTGACTGTTTTTTAAGAGTCAGCAGCTACAGTTTTTGTAGCTGCTTACTTTTATTTTTTTTAAAGAGTGAGTGGAACTCAGCTTTAACACTTAACCTCCCTGTTACTCTAACATTTACACACACAGTAGCTCTCTCTAATATAGACTTAAAGAGGTTGTAAACCCTTACATATATCCAGTGAAGTGAATGGCATCAGGTGATACACAGAGATGAAACAAATTCTCCTACATAAGTTGTATCTGTTTATCTATAACCGTCTTTCCCCTACATTCAAAGTGCAAAATTTCCACAGAATATCTCATCTGTAAAAAACGGGGTGGAGAGCTGAAGTTACACTCAGTGAGGAGACCCTTGAAAGCTGATTGGAGGGAAGGGACACGCCCCCCTTCACACAGCTCACAGGAACAGAACTGAGGCTCTCAGTCACAGGCTGTGCCCTCCCCTGTCACCATTTTTCTCTTGGTGTGAGGAAAATTCATCAAAAACGACTCATGCTGAAAGCAGAGGATCAAAGCAGCAGACAGAAATTATTATTATTATTATACAGGATTTATATAGCGCCAACAGTTTGCTCAGCGCTTTACAATATAAGGGAGACAGTACAATTACAATACATTTCAGTACAGAAGGAATAGGAGGGCCCGGCTTGTGGAGCTTACAATCTAAAGGAAGGGGGAGGTGATACAAAAGGTGATAGCTGAGGGGGATGATCTGGCAGAGGTGGGGTAGGTAAAGGTGGGGTAGGCTTCCCTGAAGAAGTGAGTTTTCAAAGATTGCCTAAAGGCAGACAGGATGGGGGCTGACTGGACATGCTGTGGAAGGGAGTTCCAAAGTATGGGAGAGGCTCTTGAGAAGTCCTGGAGGCGAGTGTGGAAGGAGGTTATGAGGGAGCTAGAGAGGAGGGTATCAAGGGGCGGTATCTGTGGATGAGGTTGGCGATGTAGCTAGGGGCAGTGTTGTGGATGGCTTTGTAAGCTGTGGTTAGTATTTTGAATTTTATACGTTGGGTTAGTGGAAGCCAGTGGAGGGATTGGCAGAGAGGGGCAGCAGTCACTGATTGGTTGGTAAGGTGTATGAGTCTTGCAGCAGCATTCATAATAGACTGAAGGGGGGATAGCCTGTGTAACGGTAGACCAGTGAGGAGGGAGTTGCAGTAATCAAGGCAGGATATAACCAAGGCGTGGATAAGTTGTTTTGTGGTGTCATTGGTCAGGAAGGGGCAGATTTTGGAAATGTTCTGGAGGTTGAGGCGGCAGGATTTAGTGAGTGGATGTGGGGCCCAAAGGAGAGGTCAGAGTCTAAAATTACGCCTAGCACCCTGGCATGAGGGGAGGGACCAATGGTAGTGCTGTTGATCTTAATGGTGAAGTCATGAGTGGGGGATCGGGGAGGAGGAAATATTACAAGCTCAGTTTTTGAAAGATTGAGTTTAAGGTAGTGATCTGACATCCATGCTAATATGTCGCTGAGTAGATTTGTGATACGTGAGGAGATTGAGGGGGTGAGCTGGGGAGTGGAGAGATAGATCTGGGTGTCATCAGCATAGAGGTGGTATTGGAAGCCATGGGAGGTTATCAGTTGGCCCAGGGAGGAGGTATAGAGAGAGAAAAGGAGGGGCCCAAGAACAGAACCTTGGGGTACCCCAACAGAAAGAGGAAGCAGAGCGGAGGAGGAGGAATTGTATGTGACACTGAAAGTGCGCTGAGAAAGGTAAGAGGAGAACTAGGAGAGAGCAGAGTCACGGAGGCCGATGGAGTGGAGTTTACTGATTAGGAGCGGGTGGTTGACTGTGTCAAAGGCAGCTGAAAGGTCAAGGAGTATGAGTATGGAGTAATGGCCGTTGGTTTTAGCAGTTAGTAGGTCATTAGTGAGTTTTAGTAGGGCAGTTTCTGTGGAATGTTGTGAGCGGAAGACAGACTTTTGGGGATCAAGAAGGTTGTTGTGAACAAGGCGCTCGAGAAGCTTGGAGGCAAACGGGAGCAGGGAGATGGGTCTTAAGTTATTCAAACAGGTGGGGTCCAGCGGGGGTTTTTTGAGGATGGGGGTAACCAGTGCATGTTTGAGTGGGGAAGGAAAGGTGCCCATGGAGAGTGAGAGGTTGAAGATGTGGGTTAGAGAGTTTAGGATAGAGAAGGGAGGAGGCTGCAACAGTCGTGAGGGGACAGGATCCAGGGGCAGGTGGTGAAGTGGGCCTTGGAAAGGAGATCAGTAACTTTCTTGTTGGTAACAGGGTCGAAGGAGAAGAGTGTTGAGTTTGGTGTTGGGCCTGGTATGTGGGTTAGAGGGGGAAGCTTGACGCTGTAGATCTCATCACGAATTGTGTCGATCTTCTTCTTGAAGTGACTGGCAATATCCTGTGCAGTAAGTAAGTTGGTGGGTGGAGGCAGTAGGGGATGGAGTAAGGAATTATACCTAATGCTCTGGATTGAGACAAGCGCACATTATAGGAGGGATATGCTTTATATTTCATGTCTCAGGTTTACAACCACTTTAATCTGTTGTTTGGATACTTACTTCTCCTGCACTAGGATCCTCTGCACAGTAAGATACCAAAGCCAAGCTTTTGGAGTCAGAATCTACTGTAATGCACCTGTCTCAGAATATTGCTATTTGCTACAATTTACATGCAATTCATGTATGTCAGTATGATTTCTTCATGCCATTTACTTTTACTGGGAACACCTAAGGATACTCTTCCTAGGAATTTCTGGAATCCTGCAATTCCACATTTCCTACCGTAAATGCTAATGTTTAATGTTTGTATGTATAACAAAATATTTTACTTGTTTTTTATTTTCTGTTTCCTGCCAGATGGTCACCATAGCAGTGATCCTTGGAGTTCGAGTGGTATGAACCAGGCTAGTTATGGGGGAATGCTGGGCAACTCTTCTCATATTCCACAGTCAAGCAGCTACTGCAACATACATCCACATGACCGCTTGGTAAGTGGAGCTTACTGTGTCATGAAAGACAGAACGACATTATATCACATTCAACTTTAAATGGACATTTGTAAGAATATGAATATCCACTTTAAAGTTGTAGTAGCACATTCTTATTCCTCATGGATAGCCATGTATGCTAATATTGAGTTGTATTCTCTCCCTGTCAAAAATAGCAGCTTAGACGCTCATGGAGTCTGGTCTGTCTAAGCAAACAGGATATTGTTTAATGGACTGATACATAAAATATAAAAAAACAAACAAACCTGGTCTGATGTTGCATCTGTCCCCCACCTCCTCTAGACCGATCAAAGACCACTAATCATTTAGATAAGCGTTTTTTGATCGATCAGTTCTCAGTTTTCAGTGAGCAGAGAGCCGGGACCAGTGTCAGTCACCGGCTCTCTGCTCACCCCTCCAGCACTCACTCGAGCTCCGGTGTGCTGAGAGCTCGGGCCAGCTGCCAGTCCAGTTATCTGGCTGGATCCCAACATTAAAGTCTGGATCCATCAGAACTTGGACTGGTCGAGTGTCGCCAGCCAACAGCAGACTTTTGCCCACTGTTGGCTGAATATGGGTCACAGGAGTACAGATCTAAGTGCACTTCTGTTTTCCACAGAAATATGGCCAAAAGAGCTTTGCCCCTACTTCTCCTTTAAGGCAAATCAAGTCCACTGAACTGTTCCCATAAAAATGATTAAAACCAATTAAATTTGGTGTACAACACAATTCCTCCAACCATCACTGTGCCATGTAGGGATAAAAACCATTATCCATCTCAAAAGGACCTGGTCTGTTATCCTGAAAGTAAAACCTAAATCCAGAAATTATGCAAAGATCCCTAATACTCAGTTAATCCATACTTAATCACAATTCAGTTCATCTGCCAGAATAAATATTAGATTTGATCATAAATACATAAAAAATCTAGTGCTAAATAAATTCCCCAGTCCATAATTCCAAATCAGTAGCATAATCAAGTTTTTTAAAAATTCATCAAACATCTATTTGGTCTTCAGACCAACCAAAATAATTAAATCCCTGACAGCTTGTTTAGTTTAGGTGATATATACATATATAGGCAAGATATCTATTTAATTTTTATAAGAAAACCAATCAATATAATATTTAACCCCCCTGGCGATATTCCCGAGTGTAGCTCGGGGTAAAGTTTCAGTACTAAAAGCGGTAACCCCGAGCTACACTCGGGCTTACCATGCGGTGTTGCTCAGGGATTCCCTGCAGCGCTTACCTTGTCCTTCGCTCCCGCGATGTGTCCCCTGCAGCGTCCCCGGCCATCCCCGGCCATCTCCTCCGCCGATGCTGCAAAGCATTTCACATACATTTTGTCCCGAGTGCCGTCCCGAGTGCTCTCCTCCGGCCGATGCTGCATCCGGCTTCCGTGTTCTGGTCCCTGCGAGCGTCGGGACGTACGGGCGCCGGAACGGCGGCAAATTTAAAAATTTTTTGAAACTGTCATTTTCTTAGAAATTAATTTGACATAGTAAAATATTACTGTATCAAACCATTTCACATACATTTTGTCCCGAGTGCTTTGTCCGGCGCCCTGCCTGCATTTTTACCGTTCTTTCTGCCTGGAAACTGAGAAAAGTCCAAAAAGCATCCCTTTTGGTCAAAAGCGGTTTTGGACCGACTAGAGAACAGCAATAGTAAATCAGAACCACTTGCAGAATTGAGTGATAATGATTCGTGGGGGGAAATTCGTCATCAGACACTGAAAACTATTTTGCAACTTTGCTCAGTGATGTGCGAACTTGGCGCTATATTTCAAATTTCAGTGTTTTTTGTTTGATTATATTATTGAATTAAATGTATTATTATATTGTTATTTTTTATAATTATTTATTAAATTATAATTTATGATTTTGTGTTTCAAGTTTTATCCTACCCGGAATGTTTATTAGACTCTTGTTCGGACAGATTTCAGTGAGTTATTCCTAAAAATTGCAGGCCTACAATAAAAAAATACATATTTCCATGCAAAAAAATGTACTGCTTTCAGCACAGAAATATGGACATAATCAGACCGCTAGGGAGGTTAATAAGTCATCCTGGAAACCAAAGGCAGTAATACTTTATTCTCTAAAAGAAAGGTCCTAGCAACAATCAATCAGGAAATTATGAACAGGTCACCCTCTATTAGGAGGCAATGCCTAGGGCAGCAGAGTTAGAGGGGGCCACATTGACATTTACCAATTTGATAATCTGTTCACGTTCCCTTAAATACTCCATTGAAACGGGTGGTGAGGGTTTGTTTGAAACGGGGTGATCATTCAGATGACTCTAGGGCAGTATCATGTCTAACTACAGCCCTAATTATTCCATTGAATGAGAGCAGAAAATTAGACATAGAAGCTTGAGTGAATTTTGCTGGGTTCTTTATCAATCCAGCACCCCTAGAGAGTTACAGTGATATCCTGACTCTTTCAGACAGTCCACTGGACAAGGAGCACCCCAGGATAGGTTTCTAAATTATAGGTTTCCTGAACCTGGGACACATGGCAACTATGGACAGGGAGCACCCCAGGGTGGTTTCTAAATTATAGCACTGAAGGACCTGGGACACATGGCAACTATGGACAGGGAGCACCCCAGGGTAGGTTTCAAAGTTTAGCACTGTCCTGAGGGATCTGGGACACATATCAACTATGGACAAGGAGCACCCCAGGGTTGGTTTCTAGGACTGACTTGAAGGGGACACATGGCAACTATGGACAGGGAGCACCCCAGGGTAGGTTTCTAAAATATAGCACTTTCCTGAAGGACCTGGGACACATGGCAACTATGGACAGGGAGCACCCCAAGGTTGGTTTCTAAATTATAGCACTGTCCTGAAGGACCTGGGACACATGGCAACTATGGACAGGGAGCACCCCAGGGTAGGTTTCTAAGTTATAGCACTGTCCTGAGGGACCTGGGACACATGGCAACTATAAACAGGGAGCACCCCAGGGTAGGTTTCTAAATTATAGCGCTTTCCTGAAGGACCTGGGACACATGGCAACTATGGACAGGGAGTACCCCAAGGTTCGTTTCTAAATTATAGCACTGTCCTGAAGGACCTGGGACACATGGCAACTATGGACAAGGAGCACCCCAGGGTAGGTTTCTAAGTTATAGCACTGTCTTGAGGGACCTGGGACACATGACAACTATGGACAGGGAACACCCAAGGGTAGGTTTCTAAATTATAGCACTTTCCTGAAGGACCTGGGACACATGGCAACTATGGACAAGGAGCACCCAAGGGTAGGTTTCTAAATTATAGCACTTTCCTGAAGGACCTGGGACACATGGCAACTATGGACAAGGAGCACCCCAGGGTAGGTTTCAAAGTTGTAGCACTGTCCTGAGAGACCTGGGACACATATCATCTAAGGACAAGGAGCACCCCAGGGTAGGTTTCTAAATCATGGCACTGTGTTCCAGGACCTAGAACACATGACAGCTATAGACAGGGTAGGATTAATATACAGCATGTTTCAATATGGGGTGGACTCTATATGAAGAAGGTATGCTCATCCTTTAAAGTTTTTGTTTTTTGAGTTTCATGGTCAGTTCACACACAAAATAAAAAGAAATACAATTCTTCTGATTTGTTAAGATTGTCATTTTTTAGAGACAAGCACACTTTAAAGCAGTATTAAACCCAAAACCAAAAATGTAATATATTGCAGCTTACCAATCATTAAATGTGATGGCTGCGTACGTTTTCTTTTTCAGGTTTTGTTCCTTTGTTTTCACCTGGTGATCTGACCAGTAACATACCTCCTGTATTACAGTGCCTCCACTCTGGATGAAGGAGCACAGGGGGCCACCTTTGGACAGTAGCTTTGTCATTCTGAGAGAGGGGAGTGTTAGATGGACTAGCAGATTTAGATACGTTAACAAATTGAAACCAAACTCCAGCTAATACTTTATAAGCGGTTACGGCAGTTTATTTTCCTTTTGAGGTAAAGTTTTTATATAAATAAATAAATGCTGATCATTGTAATCAGTCCTGTCAGTGGTAAATGGTTTGTCTCTACCCTGCAACTGATACATCTGCTGGAGAGCTTGTTTTTTTTAAAAAAAAACAACAGACTTACTGGCAAAATCGCAGATAATAAAAGAAGAAAGAAAGCCTAAAAAACTAAACAAATGCAGCCATCACATAGGAAGAAATGGTAAGCTGCATTATAATAAACGTCTGCTTTTTGGGTTTAATATCGCTTTAATTTCTTGGCTAGTTCTAGCGGTTTGACAGAGTCACAGACAAACCGTAGTGGATGGCTTACATTTTCAAATGGGAGTAAAATAGGACGACACAATAAGGGAATCTGACAAATTACAAAGAAGTTTTAAAAAACTCGTTGGGAAAAGTCAAAACATAAAGGATGTCAGTGTTTGAAATGCACTCTGTCATTGTGAGATGGTTAATTGTATTATGCGTGGCTGAATATTGTCCTTGTTTATCATTCTTACAGAGCTATCCATCACACTCTTCAACGGACATCAATTCTAGTCTTCCTCCAATGTCCACATTTCACCGTAGCAGCACAAATCATTATAACGCCTCTTCCTGTACACCGCCTGCCAATGGAACAGATAGTATTATGTGTAAGTTTTTTCCTTGTATTGCCATTTTGATTTACTTATTTCTTTTTAGCATAGAAACATCCGTTGTTCACAAAAGAAAATCTTTCAACTTTTAATTATACATCTGTAAGGAGTTACAGTAGAATGTTTCCATCAAGGCCTCATACACACAGGACATTAAAACAAAAAGCTCTTCTAGAATTTCTCCTGGCAGAAGCGTTTTTGCAGAAAAAATGCCTGACGCTTGTAAAAGTATCTATTGCTTTTCCAAGCATTTAGGCGCATTAACAAGCGTCAAGCGCTTGGGCATTAATTCATTTCATTGGCCAGAATAATAATTTATTCTGGCCATTTAACCACTTCCAGTCCGGAATCTTTTACCCCCTTCCTGTCCAGGACAATTTTCAGCTTTCAGTGCTATCACACTTTGAATGACAATTGCGCGGTCATGCAACACTGTACCCATATGAATTTTTTAGCATTTTTTTAAGACAGATAAAGCTTTATTTTGGTGGTATTTATTCACCACTGGGATTTTTATTTATTTTGCTATGTAAATTAAAAAGTCCAAACATTTTGAAAAAAAGTGTTTTTCTTATAAAATTTTGCAAATAAATAATCTTTCATCATAAATCTTGACCAAAATGTATTCTGTTATATTTTTAGTAAAAGAAAATAACCCAAATTATTTTATAACCAAAAATTATAATTTTTAAACATTTTTTTTTTTATTATTTTGTTTATTTTATTATTTTTTTACATACTGTCACCCTAGCAGTACAGTGTCACCATGGTGACACTGTACTATTTGTGGGGGGTGATGAAGATTTTTTTTTTTTTTTACACTGATTGCTTTTACACCCATAAAGGATGTAAAATCAATAATTTCTCCTTCTCTCTAGCTGCATTCTTGCAGCCATTGATTGGTCACAGCTTGTCACATGGTACAAGGCTGTTGTGAATAGCCTTGTACCATGTGACCTCTGTGATCATTCACAGATTTCACACGTAGTAGGCAATGATGTCACAAGTGACATCTTGCTTACTACTCTTGCATGTGATCACTGATTGGCCAATCAGTGATCCCATGATCGGGACCTCGCACAGAGGTCCCGTCCGCCGATCAGTGTTCCGCTGTGTCCGGAGGACACAGCGGGCACCGGATCGCAGTGCTGTGCGCTCCCAGGGAGTGCGCACAAGCAGGGTGCGGGGAGGCCGTTTATAAACGGCCACCCGACCCTGCACTGCCACCGTCCGGCCGTTTATATACAACGGCCGGACGGGAGGTGGTTAAACTAATTAACGCTCAAGCCCTAATCAGATGAAGGAGCACAGGGGGCCACCTTTGGACAGCAGCTTTGTCAGTCTGAGGGAGTCTGTCTGTTAGATGGACTATCAGATTTAGATACACTAACAAAATTAAAGCCAAATTACAGCTAATACTTTATAAGCGGTTACGGCAGTTTTTTTTTTTTCCTTTTGGGGTAAAGGTTTTATATAAATAACTAAATGCTGATCATTGTAATAAGCCCTGTCAGCCCTTTTGGGGTAAAGGTTTTATCAGGCCTAGTGTTAACATGCATTTAGGCGCGTTTAGCCTCGTTGAGCGTTATTTTTACCAAAACGCTGCTGCTTCTGGATGCACTGGCTCTGGGTTTTTTTTTTTCCTGCTGGTAAACGCTACTGCTACTAAAAACTTCTAAAAGTCTATGTGTGCACATGACTCATAGGATAACATGGAGCGCCATTTGGAAGCAGTAAAAAAAAAAACGCCTGACGACCCCTAAAAGTGGCTGCAAAGACATCCTGTGTGCATGAGGCCTAAAGCAGAAGGATAGTCACAGATGGACAGACATTTTCTCAAGGAAGACTGACAGGGAGACAATTGCCCATTTCTAATGCAACTTGCCCAAATCGACTGACACAGTAAATATTCAGATGCCAACTGCCTTCCCTGTTCTCTCTTTTATGGTAACATTGTGCTAGTCCACTGGCTGTAATAGTTACAGTATCTACTGTGTTAGGCAGGCCATAGACTATTCAATTTTCTTTCCTGTAACCCATGGTTCTCGATTCCCTCCTCCTGCAAAGCAATTGTGTTATGGTGGTGGGGAACCTTCCCAACCGGCAAAACACGTTGATTATTTGTCAGCGCCTATAGCCGCCGTCTGTAATCACATCTGAAAACTCCAACAGGCTAATAGACGGAGAGAGAGAGATTTACTACAACTGGAGTGCAAAATCGGGTGCAGATTCCAGGTTTTTTCTTTTTAAGAAATTGTTTTTTTGGGGGGTTTTTTGGTATGGCGTGCTAATGGAAACACATAACACACCTATAGTGGGGGTTTGTCAATTATGACTGTAAAAGTCACACTAATTTTTTTTTTTTTCTTTAAATATGTTTATTCTGAGTTTAACCGCCTCCCGCCCACCATATAAGGAAATGACAGACAGGCGATGGTTCTCTCGTTCTGGGAGGATGCCATATGACGTCCTACCACTCTATCCGCGCGTGCGCGCCCCCCGGGGGCACACAGCGTGGCAATCGGTGGTGCGCTGTAGCCCTGGGACTCAGCAGAAAGAGCCGATGACTTCGGCTCTTCAGACAAGTGGTTAAGAAAAGACAGCATAATAAATTTGAATGAAAATTGTTCAACATTCTCTAAGGACAATGCCATAGAAATAAAGGTTCAGGAAATCTTAAAATGCAATATAAGCAAAACAATCATTACAATGAATAGTGTAAGCAAAAATATTCTTGAATAAATGAAGTGATACGTTTTCTCGCATGTAACATGAAGAAAGAACTAACCGTAGGGCCCCTTTCACACGGATGTTCCGATCGGATCCGCTTGCCCATTTTTTAGGCATAATCGATTGGAACCTCTGTTCTCCTCTATAGAGCGGCGGGTGTAAACGGACACCCGCCGACATCCAATCCAATCTGCCAAAAAGAGATGAATAGGGATCAGGGGCGGACTGACCATTCGAGCACTCGGGCACTGGGTCAGTATGGGGGCCCATGAGATGCCCCTAGTACCTTTCATTGGCTTTTTCATAGGCTTTTTTGGGTATGGGCAAGGACACAGGGGCCCCATGATCCCCTATTGCCCGGGGGCCCCATAAGTTGTCAGTCCACCCCTGATGGGGATCCATTCCCCTTCCATCCATCAGATCGGATGGGATGGCACTCGGATGGAAACAGACAAGGCGGTCCATTTCCATCTGACCGCCCTTAGAGGACAGCAGGCTGTGTCTGTGGCTTGCTTAGTGGGGATCAGCGGAGAGATCCCCTACTGAGCAAGGGGATCCGCTGATGGGTTCACTCCGTGTGAAGATGCCTAGGTTGGATGACTCTCGACAGAAGGAGATTACATAAGAAAGTAACCGTATTTGCAGAATATAAATCTTCCAGGTTTTTTTGTCTAAGCTTAATTGAACAAGTTGAAGTAAGAAACTGATTGGCTGCCATGCACAGCTGCACCAGATTCTGAGTGCTCCAGTTTTAGTAAATCTCCCCTATTTTAGAAGGTGGAGGTCTGTAATGACAGCCTAAGGCTGGCCATACATTATACAATTTTCTTGAGAATTTTGCTTTAGATTTACCAAAAACCATATAATATGAGGTTAAACATGAACAATGCTTTCAATTGTATCCAGTTAGACAGACCCTTACACTACATAGTTGAAGGTAACGCCCCGTACACACGATAAGAAAATCGTACGAACCCACTGATCGAACGATTTTCTCTTCGTTGATGAGCAGGATATTTTAACCGATAATGATATTGTGAAAGAAAAATCCGGTTGAACAACAGTGAAAAATTTGTCGGATACGTACGACCGATTTTCTATGCGGTTGTATGACGGTCGTACGAAAAAAATGTATCAAGCGCTATCACGCATGAGCGGAAACAGAAGATGACCCGGATGTTTATGTCCAAGGAATCTTCGTACACACAAACAAAAAATCCAAATGTTAAAGTAGATTATCCTAATGAGATAATGAAACCAGAATTCTGCAGATTATATTTTATGTATCACTATTTATGTATATAGGTCATGTAATAAACGATATTATAAACCATATAAATGCTGCGCTACATTCAAACTTATTTAAGTGAATGTGGAATCCAATAACTCAAATCAAAATAGTGACAATAATAATGAAAATAAATAATATGTGCTTAATGATAACAAAATTACCAAATAAACCACCCAAACTGATGAAAAAGCACAAACTTAAATCTATACGTATGTGCATGAGAAATACACATACATATATTACATCACACGTGCACAATGTGAAGTGAAATAATGACTAAATAATAAACGCAAACTCAAAGTCCAATAATGAAATGTTGAAGGTGAACAAAACTGTAAACGGTGTTTCCAATAATACTGTAAGGTGACCACAAGTGAAACAAATCGTGCAGATATCTGGGTGTAGATAGAGCTTGTGACCAACCACCTTCTGGATTAGCCTCTCACCTCATCACTTCGACCCTTGCGGGTCAAAGAGCAGTAATGGATCCCTCTCACAGATCCTCCAGGCACCACAGCATTCCAAAACCACTTTTCAGATTTAGTATTCCCACTCAGGCTCTTCTCCAAGTATAGGTGAAATATCAATTTCGGGTTTTGTCCAGAAGTCTCTCCAGAACACCCAAAAGGAGACCCAGGCGAAGCTTCGTGTCCAGTGTTGCTGACCCAACTGATGGGGACCCTCGGCCTGTTCTGTAGCCCCTCATGGAGCACCAGCATGGGTTGTAATGCTTGGTATGGAAGAAGCAGTCTTCCCCTCAGAAGGAGTCACCAGGACAGGAAGTGAAATCTCAGGGATCACAGATTGTGAGAAACACACGGAGCGGCTCTCATGCTCATATAAACGATATTATACTCATTGCTGGGAATTGTTGTGTATATCGCTCGTTCTGGCCGGAAGGGCGTGGCTACAAGGTCACACGCACACCGCGTCACTTCCACTTGTACGGAAGACGTCAACACTATGTATTGCCTGA